CCCCCAAAACCCCAAAACCCCATAAAGAGATATCTTCTACTTGATAGCTGTAAATTCAAAATAAATCATATCTTTCTCAGATATAAACAAAACTCCTTCTTATAAATATCTTTCTTAAATAAATACAAGTAAATAATGGGAATATAAGGACTACTATAGTTGCTGAAACCGGCTCTTAGAGAAACTAAGCTTTCAAAATATAGAAGCAAGACTGCTGCCATTGATATCATGACTTGGCTGTATAAAGGTGCTTATTCATGTGCCTATGAACTGGGATTGGAACAGCAAACTTTCGGATTCATAAGTTATCCCATAAAAATGCTAAAGCTGGTCCAGTCTTATGGAATCAAGCCAATATGTGTGTTTGACGGTATGCCATTATGAGCAAAGGAAGATACAGAACAGTCACGTAAAGACAATAAAAAAACTAACAAGGATCTGGCCTTGCAATATGCTAGAGAAGGTAAAATTGAAGAAGCCAAAAAATACTTTATGAGGTGTTTACAGCTAAGGTCAAAGATGATTGACCTTCTTATGGATATTCTCAAGGTTCTTGACATTGAATATATTAAGGCGCCTTATGAGGCAGATGCTTAGATTGCATATCTAGTGAGGGAAGGAATAGCAGATATTGCAATTAGTGAAGATTCTGATTTGATAGCATTTGGATGCCCTAGGTTGGTGACTAAATTGGATTTCAGGGGTATTTGTTAAGTCTTTGATCAAGATGATTTTGTTGCAAGCACTACTATCAAAGATGCAAATCTTAAATTCCTACAGAAAGCAACTTGATGGTAGTTTGTTTAAATTTGTATCATGGGAGGATGTGATTACCTGCCATCTATATCCAGAGTTGGTCTTAAAGTTGCTGTTAAATTTTTCATTAAGCATTCTACTATTGAAGAGGTTATAGAGGGAATGAAAGCAAATGCTACTTATGCAAATAATGTCCCGTTCAACTATCTAGAAGCACTGAAGAAAGTGCAAACTCTATTCTTTTACTAAACTGTTTACAATCCAAGGAGCAAATAGTTTACCCAGTTGGAATAATTGCCAGAAGGCTTTATCTCAGAGGATATAGATTTCTTAGGGGCCCATTTGCCTGATGAAAAGATTTAAAATTATGTCTCAGGCAATCTCAAAAAGGATCTTAACGAGCTAAGAGATACTTATAGGCATATCTTGGATCTAAAATTTTTATTGGAAGACTATAAAATGAACTGTTTAAGTGATAGATCTTTTATTTGCCTTGATCCTTCATTCTTTAATAACAACACAGAACCTAGCAAAAGATATGAAAAAAATCAACAAAAACCAGTAGCCTAAGAAATGCCTAATTAAAATAAAATTCTTAATATAACTGAGGAGTTCAAGAAGTAAGAATAGCTATTGAAAAAGCCTTTGGATATTACTGAAATCTTGGTGAATGAAAACTTAGGCTAAAATACTAGAAAAAATAACAGCAATAATGATATTGATATCGCTTTAATTGAGTCTTTAAATGAATCCGGGCTTGATATTCAGACATTTGTAAACAATACAGAGCCTGCTATAAACCTGAAACCAAACGTAAAAGTAAAAAATGATATCTCTTTTCTAGAAGACCTATGCCAAAATATTAAGAAAAAAACAATTGATATTATTGAAAAAGAGAAGTGCTTAAATGATCATTAAAGTGAAAAGGTGAGTCTACCTATATAATAAAACATTTTGAGACTCGAAAATGTTTGCCCTTAAAGAGCTTAAAAAAATTAAGAAAACTCTGAATAACCATCAGTGGGCTTGAGAAGTTATGAACAAGTAGATGATAGTAAACTTATCAATTTAAAAGCACCAAATAAAAACCCTTTTCTTAAAAGTAATACATAGCCATCACCTTAAAAATTAGCCTAGCAAGAAAAAGAATTAGACTCATTTAAGAAGTTCGATCAAGTTAGGGAATACTTGGAATATGAGGAGAAAAAATAGAAATTTCTCTCGCAATAAATGCTCAATGAAAAAGGTGAAGGAGCAGTTCCTATGGAATTAATGTTTATGATGTAATTCTAATAGCATGAAATAATAAATGAACAGGATACTTTGCAAACCACAAAAACTCGAAAAACAAAGAAAAGAAAAGCAGAAGAAATAAGTAATGAAATTAAGACGATAGCCAAAATAGATACCTTTTTTAATAAAAAAGTGAAGGTTAACGAGCAATAGTGAAAACTGCTTTATGACAATTGTGTATCTATCAAATAAAATAGAAGCTTTAAATTGATAAACTATGTTTGGTAAAAATTTTAATTCTATTTATTTTTGAAAACCCCAACATTAAGGTTCAATGTTAAAGTAAGGGGTTTTGGGGTTTTGGGGTTTTGG